TTTCATTCCACATTTGAATAATTCAAATTTTAAAAAAATTCTCATTTCTTTTTCAGTATCCAAAGCACTGCCTATTGCTCATTTTCTACCAACTGATCAGTGCAAAACCTTTCCATATTAGAAAATCAGGACTTCCTCAACCCTCTGCTTCAATTAAAAACAACTGAGTCTTTCTTTATGAATTTCAGCTTTGCCAATTCTTTAGCCACACTCCAATAAATCACTGTTCACTTTCCACTACTCTCAAAATAGGGCAACCGGAATCAAACAGCAATTTCCAATTATCACCAGACAAGGATTTTTTTTCCTTCTCCTTTATTCATTGACGGGATGAGAACGTCACTGGCTAGGCAGCATTTGTCTATCCCTAATTGCCCAAAAGGCAGTTCAGAGTCAACCACATTGTTATGGGTCTGCAGTCACATGTAGACCAGACCAGGTAAGGATAGCAGTTTCCTTCCCTAAAGGACATTAGTGAACCAGGTGGGTTTTTCCAACAATCAACAATGGATTCACAGTCATCATTAGACTCCTAATTCCAGACTTTTTTTATTGAATTCAAATTCCACCATCTGTTGTGGCAGGATTTGAACCCAGGTCCCCAAAATGTTATCCAGGTCTCTGGATTAACAGTCCAGCGCCTCCCCCTAAATAATAGGTGATAAACCTATAAATCTTTTCACATTTGTTAATATCTCACTGTTCACATGTTCAGGACGTCCCGAAGCACTTGAAAACATTAGAGACTAATAGGCAAAACTCAATATAGCATATCCCTTTTAAGTAACCAAATACCAACCTGCAGTTTTCTTGCCATGGCCACCACCTCATGGTCAGGAGGATTATATTTGTAACAATTAGAGAACATCAACCGAACATCTGCTGCAAACTCTTGAGCATCACCATACTGTCTGTTGTCCATTTTTGACTAGAAGAACAACAGGAAAGTAGGTTAAACGTGGGATTCACAAGCATGCTTGTAATCATTCAGAAACCATTGTATTATTATTGTTGTAACCGCAGAACTAACTTCAATCGAAAAAAAACACTACAATTTCTAAAGCTTCTGGAGGGGAACGTTGACAAGATTTGCCCTTCCTGGGCTATACAGACAAACTTAACTATCAAATGTATCAGAATCAGTGCACCTAACAAGCAACAATTCCACTGCAACACAAGGATGAAAAAACTGCTTGACATGTGAATCCTTTCAGAAGGAGCAATGTAGTGGAGAACAACTTGCACTGGCATGAATTTTTTTCCAAATGCCTTTTTTGAGAAAGGAAAATTTTATTCTCTACTTTTCATTGAAATTGGGTTCATATAAAGCATGCAAAAAACGGATAGTGCAGTGTAATACTCCAATATCCCTTTACTCCGATCCCAAGAAAACATTCAAAGACATTATTCAGCAATTCCTTACTCTCCCCAAGGTTCATATGAAGTGCTTCCTTATCACTTACATAAAGCTTTTACTTCAATAACTCCTGTATTATGCTCCCATGCTCTTCGTAATCCTCAACAGGATTTGGCACAACAAAAGACAGATTCTTAGTCCCTTCCCTTCTACTGTCCAACATAAAAATCTCCACTCCATAAACTGCCACCACCTACACATGCCTCCATCACAACTGAAGCACAACAACATTAACAGTACATATATGCATCCTAAAATGCTAATAAATGATCCTTCTGCAGTAACTTGTAGAAATAATCTGATATACTTAGTGCTACAAAGAATATTGACGTCAAACTAGAAACAGGTCATACTCACTGATGTCATTGTCATCTTCCACTGTTACTCAGATCCCAGACTCTCAAAAGCTGTGAACACTTATTTATTCTAGACCTGCTCCACAACTTGAATGTCTGTTTTCATGTCCCTTTCTTGGCTCCCAAGCCCCAATACTGGTTTGCCTTTGACTCCATAAGAGGCAGCACAAGCTGCACCATTTCATCACAAATAGAAAGTAAGCCCAGTGAATAAATATTTGTCTTTTTTCATATAGCAATTCCAGGCCTCAGGCCAAAGTACTTTTAAAGTACAGGCATTGTTGTAATATAGGAAATTCTGCAGCCAATTTGTACACAGCAAATTACAAAATGATGCAACAGCAATTCCCTTAACCCACCCTGCCCCCCAAATGGTAGAAATTCCCAACAAAATAAAGGTGAGTTCATTAGGAAAAACAATTATTTCATTACAGGCCAATCTAGTTTCGTGGGGAGTAATAACCATGTGCCTGCTTAATGCCAACATTAAATGATCAAACCCATGGAGGCACACATTGTGGAAATCATAATTAGGCAATAGGTTCTACAGAGGGTGAACCCATGATTGCTGTATCATTGGTCAATGAAACTGAACACAATTACAGACAATCACATCATTACAAGTCAGCACGATTGCAATATATGCACCACTAAATAAAATATTCAATTAAGAAAATAAACATTTTAGGAATGGAACACTTGTTTCTAGTTGAGCTAATCAGAGATGCACTGCAACTTCGGACCTTATAGAAAATAAGCATGTAAACACAAATCAAATTTTGTAAACAATATTCTATCAACCCATTTCGCATTTACAAGTGGATGACATGTCAGAATCTACAGATGATAACTGGGAGGTTTCCAACACATGACCTTGGCTTGTAATGTGCAATTGCAGTAAAAGTTGTCAAGAGGTCTTTTATTGTTACTTCTACTAGTGAGGGAATCATATACTTATTCTCCAAGCTCTCCCGTTACACCCCTTACTCTTAAAATCCCCAAACCATCATTTTCCTCTGTTTCGATTAGATTTTTCTCATCCTGAAATTTGGCGGTTTATAATTCATTTAAAACCTTCGCCCAAATTTTATTTCATTTCTGACTAATTCCTCCATCTAACCTCACATCTAGTCCAACCTCCTAATATATTTCAGTCTCTTCTACATCCTCAATCCCCTAAAACAAATAGATGAACTTGCCTTACAAAGAGGATGGATAGAAGTAAGCTGAGTGACCCTTGCGTGGCTGTAGAACATTTCCCAGACTTCTCCAATGACCATACAAGTGCAACTGAAATTTATAAGTTTGAGAATTTACCCCTCTTTACTTCTTACATTGCACTGAGGAACATGTAAATGAAAAAAGTTAACATATGAAAAGATCACAAAATCATTTTCTTTTGTTTTGAACACTTCGATATCTTCCCCTTCCAACTCTTCAGTCTCCTGGATCCCACATAATTAAATCAAACAGTTCACCATTCTCATCAGCAAGTACGGCAAAACTATGTTACAAGAGAATTGAAAAACAGCAGCACTGAGAAAGATTAGGGTTAAAACAATTAAAAAAAATGGGAAAGCAGTCAGTAAGATAAGTGCCAAAATGGAAGCAAAGACTAGGAATAAAAGCTAATAATTAATATATATTGCAAAATCTGCATTGCCTTTCTAAATGACAAGTGCATAAATTAATTTTAAACTCAAAGCTTCTAGGCTGCGAAGGGTACATCCACATTCATAACTCAACAGAAGTATTAAAGACTTGCAACCTATGGTACAGAACTGAACTTGAAGATTTCTGTAGTACTCAAGGAGTTGCATAAAGTTTTGGCAAAGATCTGTAGCTCTGGTTGTGGGGGAGGTTGTTGACTCGCTCACCAAACTGGCTTGTTCTCGTTCAGACGTTTCGTCACCATACTAGGTGACTTAATCAGTGGAGCCTCTGAGGAGTGTATCTAGTGCTTTTCTCTGTTCAGGTAGTCCCCTTTGTTCCTTCTGTGTAGTGCGGGGGATTATAGTTTGTCGAATGGTTTGTTGTGTTTCGTCCGTGAGTCTGTTGTCTTTTAAATGTAGTCTCCAGGGCGGCCACAAAGTCTGTTCTGTTCACATCTTTGCAGTTACAGTTCAGTCTGCGTAATAGGACAGCTCTCAGTTTCTGCGCGTTGTCTGCTGGATAGATTGCTTATCCACGTATCCAGTTTGTTGTTGTCCTTGTCTTTATAATGGATCAGTCTGATGAGTTTTTCTTGTAGCTGGTGTCTCCTTTTAGTTTTGGTTTTGTGTTGATTGATGGTGATGGCCTGTTCTAGGATTGCAGTCCACTTCTGGTCCATAGTGTTTAGTTACTGTGATTTTTGGCGCAAAATTTCCCGTTCGTACCTGTGGAGTTGGTTATGGGCATCATAAAACACTACTCGTGGCATTCTGCGTCCATTCTGTTCAGCTATTTTATATGCCTGTGGGTTGTTGAGTAGAGGTTTGTACTTCACGGTGCAGGACAGCACCTGGTTCCTGAGGGACTCGCGGAGAAAGTGAAGTTGTAGCGCTCAGTCGATTGGTGAAGGCTTCCCATTGTCGGGCTATTTTTAGCTAATTTAGCATAGATGTTTAAAGAATTGGCTAGGATCTGTAGCTCGGGTTGTGGATGAAGTTAATGACTTGCTCGCCAAGCTGGCTTGTTCTCATTCAGACGTTTAGTCACTATGCTAGGTATCATCAGTGGAGCCGCCAATGAAGCTTCTGCTGTGCTTCTTTTCAGCGATCTCACAGACGAAGGAACGTCTTGTTGTACATGTACGCAGACACAGTGAAAGGTGTTGTCTTGCATACTATACAGGCAGATCATACCATACAAAGTGCATCAGGGCAGCAGAACTGAGCACAGAAGAAAGGGTTGTGTGCGTGCGTGAGTGGTGGGGGTGGTGGTGGGCAGTGGGGGCAAGAGTTAACGTTTGAGTGTTCCATTCACAACAGCAAGGAGGCTGTTCTTGAATCTATCTGTACGTGTATTCAAACTTCTACATCATCTGCCTGACAGAACAGGGTAAAGGAAAGTATAACCATGGTGGTTACTTGATTGCATTGCTGTCCCGAGGCAGCGGGAAGCACAGATGGAGTCAACGGATACAAGGTTAGATTGCATGATGGGCTGAGCCGCACTCTCAACTTTGTAGTTGTGTGTTGTCTTGGGAAGAGCAGTTGCCATACCACACTAATGATGCGATGAGATAGAATGCTTTTTATGGTGTAGCTGTAGAAATTAGTAAAAGTCCTTGTGGATATGCAGATTTTCCTTAGCCTCATGAAGTAGAGATATTATTGCATTTTCTTCAACATCATGTCAACGTGGATGGACCAGGACAAATGGTTAGTGATCAGCTTTGCCAGGAACTTGACGTTCTTGACCATCTCAACTTCAGCACTATTGATGCAGGCAAGGACATGCCCTCTGACTTCAGGAAGCAGTGTAATGATCAGCTCCCGTGCTTTGTTGACATTGGAGAGATTGGTACCTTTACCATTCTACTCTAAGCACTCAACCTCTTCTGCTGTACCTGTCTCATCATTGTTTGAGATACAACCTAAAACAGCAGTGTAGTCAGCAAACTTGTAAATAGAGTTCAGATTGGAATTTGGCCATAATCATGAGTGTATTAGTATAGTTGGGGGCTGAATACACAGCCTTGTAGCACACCAGTTGTTGCTTATACTTTTTCTTCCCCCTATTCATTTGTGGGATGTGGGCATCACTGGCTGGCCAGCATTCCTTGCGCTTCTCAAGGGTAACTAGGAAAAGTGGTGGTGAGCTGCCTTCTTGAACTACTTTTTCCTGCTGCTGTGGGTTGACCCACAATGCATTTAGGGAGGGAATTCCAGGATTTTGACCCAGCGACAGTGAAGGAACAGAGGTATATTTCCAAGTCAGGATGGCGAGTGACTTGGAAGGGAACTTGGAGGTGGTGTTCCCATTTGTCTGATGCCCTCGTCCTTCCAGATGGAAGTGGTCGTGGGTTTGGAGGGTGCTGTCTGAGAATCTTTGGTGAATTTCTGCAGTGCATCTTGTAGATAGTACACAGTGATGCTGAGCATCAGTGGTAGAAGGAGTGAATGCTTGTGGATGTAGTGCCAATCAAGTGGGCTGCTTTGTCCTGGATGGTGTCAAGCTCGAGTGTTGTTGGGGCTGCACTCCTCCAGGCAAGTGGGGAGTATTATATCACGCTCCTGACTTGTGCCTTGTAGATAGCGGACAGGCTTTGAGGAGTCAGGAGGTGAGTTACTTGCCGCAGTATTCCTAGCCTCTTGTAGCCACTGTGTTAACGTGGTGATTCCAGCTGAGTGTCTGGTCGATGATAACCCCCACAATGTTGACAGTGGGGGGATTCAGTGATGGTAACATTTTTGAATGCCAAGGGAGTGGTTAGATTGTCTCCCATTCATGATGGTCATAGCCTGGCATTTGCATGGCGTGAATGTCACTTGCTACTTGTCAGCCCAAGCCTGGATATTGTTTGGATCTTTTTGCATTTGAACATGGACTACTTCAGTATCCGAGGAGTCTCAAACAGTGCTGAACATTGTTCACCGATGATTGCACATCCCCATGTCTGACCTTACGATGGAGGGAAGGTCACTGATGAAGCAGCTGACGATGGTTGCGCCTCAGACACTACCCTGAGGAACTCCTGTAGAGATGTCCTGGAGCTGAGATGATTGACCACCAATCATGACCATCTTCCTGTGTGTCAAGTATGACTTCAACCACTGGAGAGTTTGCCCCCGATACCCACTGATTCCAGTTTTGCTAGGGCTCCTCAATGCCACACTGTCGAATGCAGCCTTCATATCAAGGGCTGTCACTCTCACCTCACCGCTGGAATTCAGCTCTTTTGTCCATGCTTGAGCCAAGGCTGTAATGAGATCAGGAGCAGAATGGCCCTCGCAGAACCCAAACCGGCCACTGAGCATGTTATTTCTGAGCAGGTGCTGCTTGATAGCACTGTTGATGACACCTTCCATCACTTCACTGATAATCAGGACTGATGGGGCAGTAATTGGCCAGGCTGGATTTGTCCTGCTGTGTGTGTACCGGACCATATTTGGCCAATACTCCAACATTGCCAGGTAGATACCAGTGTTGTAACTGTACTGGAACAGCTTGGCTAGGGGAGAGGCAAGTTCTGGAGCACAAGTCTTCAGTACTATTGTTGGAATTTGTCAGAGCCCAGAGCCTTTGCAGTATCTAGGTGTCTCCAACCGCTTCTTGATATCACATGGAGTGAATCGAATTAGCTGAAGACTGGTATCTATAATGCTGGGGACCACTGGAGGAGGCCGAGATTGATCGTCCACTCGGCACTTCCGGCTGAAGATTGCTGTGAATGCTTCAGCCTTATCTTTTGCACTGATGTGCTGGGCTCTTCCATCATTAAGGACGGGAATATTTGTGGAGCCTCCTCCAGTGAGCTGTTTAATTGTCCAACACCATTCACGACTGGATGTGGCAGGACTGCAGGGCTTCGATCTGTTACATTGGTTGTGAGATCGCTTAAGCTCTGTATCACTTGCTGCTTATGCTGTTTGGCATGCATGTAGTCCTGTTTGGTGGCTTCACCAGGTTGATGCCTCATCTTCAGGCATGCCTGGTACTGCTCTTGGCATGCCCTCCTGCACTGTCCACTGAACTAGGATTGATCCCCTGGCTTGATGGGGATGGTTGAGTGGGGGATATGCCAAGCTGTGAGGTTACAGATTGAGCAGTGCAATTCTGCTTGAGGTCCACAGTGCCTCAAGGATGCCCAGTCTTGAGCTGCTAGATCTGTGCTAAGTCTGTCCCATTAAGCACAGCGATAGTGCCACACAACACAACGGAGGTGGTTCTCAATGTGAGGTTAAGACTTCATCTCCACAAGGAGTATGGTCACACTTACTAATCTGCCAGCTGCAGATACAGTATTGGTAGGGATGAGGTCAAGTATGCTTTTCCATCGTTGGTTCCCTTACCACCTGCCGCAGACCCAGTCGAGCAGCTATATCCTATGAAACTGACCAGCTCAATGTGCAGTATTGCTGCTGAGCTACTCTTGGTGGTGGACACTGAAATCGTTCCACCCAGAGTACATTTTGTACCCTTGTCATCCTCAGTGCTTCCTCCAAGAGTTGTTCAACATGGAGTACTGATTCATCAGCTGAGGGAGGGCAGCATGTGGTAATCAGCAGGAGGTTTCCTTGCCCATGTTTAACCTGAAGCCAGGAGACTTCATGGGGTCCGAAGTCAATGTTGAGGACTCCTAG